TAAATTTGGTGTGTGAAAGGCAATATTAATTAAATAGTCAGTAAGGCTTGGTTCACACTACCAACACAACAACCTAAATGACATTACTACTTATGTCGGCAATGTGAACATCAACATAAAAGCATAACGAAAGATCAGTTTTTTGCGTTTGTCTCTATGTTCATGAGTTTTGTAAACCTGCGAGCCAAGGGGCGAGCCACGTGAGCCATGCGAGCCATGCGAGCCACAGTACAAATGTTAAGAATTTTTATTTGTTGCATTTATATTCCCATGAGAACAAGAACAAGAGCAACGGAACAAGATGAATAAGATCGCAATATTAAATTCTTGCAGCGACTACACAAATCGTCACTAAGGACGTTTTTTGAATCAGCCAATCCGAACAAGAACAAGAGCAACGGAACAAGATGAATAAGATCGCAATATCAAATTCTTGCAGTGACTACACAAACCGTCACCAAGACGTTTTTTGAATCGGCCCATCAGAAGCCAAGCTGAAAAAAATGATAAATAGTTACAAATTTTACTTCCGGTTAAACTGCCTCACAATGCATGGAAAGCCGACAAGGGTACCACAACCGTCATAATGAACAGAACATAAACTCAACGAGGGTCAAGTCCAACTTGATGATATACACAACTACCGACCCTTAGACAAACCTATGGTTGACACCACGGCCAAAAAGGTTTATCGATTGATTCGATCCCTACTTCAAGAAGGCCACATAGACGAAATGACGGCTTAATGGCTCTCCCTTACGCCCGACCCTCCGCGAATACCAATGTTTCAAACACTTACAAAGATTCACAAACCGACACCTGTCGGTAGACCTATTACATCAGGGTGTGATGGCCCTGCAGAAAGGATCTCATCTTTTGTTGACCACTTTCTTCAGCCGATAGCACAAAGACAAGCCTCGTATCTTAAAGATACAACAGACTTTCTTAACTTCATCGAGAAGACTAAACTGCCTAAGAACAACATTCTTGTGTCAATGGACGTCACCAGTCTCTACACAAACATACCACAGGAAGAGGGTATTCCCACAGTATGCGAAGCATGCGGAGAGTTTTATCACGAGAACCCTCCAATTCCTAGCAGGTATTTAGAAGAGAACTGCACAGTCTGATTCTACAAGAAAACTCGTTCCAATTCAGTGGAAAAGATTACCTCTAAACTCACGGAACAGCCATCAGTGTTTCAGCCAGAAAATTTCACTTGAGGGCCAAAGTGGCCCCTGAAGATCTTTTTTAGGGGCCAATTTTTTAGGAAAGGGGCTAATAAACTGAAAGCTACAGAAGGAAAAAAATGCATCAGGGTACCAAGGAAAATAAAGCAGTTTATTAGGATCTATGATAAAATTTCATAGTAAGTGCTTTTTGAAGGGTTTCTACTCAATAAAATTTCTTTTGAATCAGATACTAGTATGAAGGATCTGTGCATTACAAGAGAACAATCCTTAGGCCTACATGACGTAGTCAATGATCAAGGGTTTGCAA